GTGGTTCAAGCTTATCAGCTGATCCTTGGAAACTCTATACAGGGTCGCTATGAGTCACAATTAACTCTACGTCACTTAACAACAACAACAACAACACCTCTACAAGAAAAAGACAACTCAATTTTAAAATGGGCACAGGACATGAACAGACACTTCACCGAGGAGGAGATCCAGGCAGCCAACAAACATATGAAAAAATGTTAACAGTCATTAGCCATTAGAGAGATGCAAATCAAAACAATAATGAGATATCATCTCACACCAGCAATAACAGCAAAGATAAAAAAAATAAATAAATAAAGGACAATAAATATTGGCGGGGATGAGAAGAGCCTGGGACTCTCCTGCATTGCTGGTGGGATTGCATAATGGTCCAACCTCTTTGGAAAGGAATATGACACTTGATCCAGCAATTCCTCTACTTGGTATTTACTCACAAGAAATATGAGCCATAACACGAGTAGATATATGCACACCAATGTTCATAGAAGCACTATTTACAATAGCAAAAAGATGGAGACAGCCTAAGTGCCCCTCAACTGAAGAATGGATAAACAAACTGGTACATACACGCAATGGAATGTTATGCTACATTGAAGAATAACAAGGAAGCTGCAAGCCACCACATAACATGGATGAACCTTGAGGACATTATGTTGAGTAAAATTAGTCAGTCACAGCAGGAAAAGTACTGTATTAGGACCATTATTGTAAAAGACTAAGAAAAAAACCCATACTAAAGGGGCGGGGGGATTCTTTGCTGGTTCCCGGGATGTGGGAGATTGGGCGAGGGGAGAGAGGGAAAGGTGGAGCACAGGGCAAGGATTAGACACAGGATAGTTTGGGTGCTAGGAAGGGGGGGCAATACATAAGAAGGGGGACGGGAATGGAAGAACAAAGCAGACGGAAAACAATTAGGCAGTTTTGCTTGGGCTAAGTGGGACAGCAGTAAATATGATGTATGCACAGTCTGAACAACAGGGCTCTAGGATACATGGATTGAGACATGGTTGGAATGAGCAAAAGGGGGGCAATAATGTTAAGATGCTTGGTGTCTTTTGAATCTTGGATTCCCTGGCTTACCATTATAAAATAGACATTTGAGGGAGAGAGCAAGGAATAGCCAGAAATATCACCATAGAAAGCTTATAAGTTCATCTTTTGCCTATAACTGATTGGAATACCTAAAATGGGGCTACAACATGCCCACTGAAGGAGGCTTCCTGGAGCCTCTGCATTACATAAGACCGTAGGTGGAATTCTGAACCTTACCCAGAATCTTCTGAGGTGAGAAATTTCCACTTGAAAGGACAAGCAGACCAGCATGGAGCAGCTAGAAGAACAGAAGATACTTCTTGAAAGAAAGACCAGCTGGAAAAGTACAAAACAATAAGGCAGTCCAGAGGGTGCGGAGGAAGTTAGAATCTCCACTGAGTAGTATGCAATCTCTCTGGGTGGGCTGATGAAATGAGATGTGGATAGGTCTCCTGTGATACAATAGTGAATAATTGTTATCAGGACTGATTGTGAGGGTTGAAAATGTAATGGTAAATGTTTTGTAGCAAAAGGAGGGGAGTGATTGACTGCAGTCTAGGACCGGAGGTCCCTGGGACCATCAAGGGAGAAGAGCAGAGAGCGGGACCCTACCGAGAAGCAGCGACACCAGAGTTTGAGGCAGAGAAGATGACATGGAGAGATGGAATGGCTAGGGACTTTAGACCCGGAGAGGGGCGAGGGACTGTGTGCTGATGACCCAGGGGGAGCAGGCTTGTAGGTTATACCTTTTGGTTGGTTGATGATGCATGGAGGGGATTGTAACCATAGCAATGATCAACGAAAGGATGAATGTAAAGCTAATGTTCTCCATGTAAACTACCACATAATTCACAATAAAACATTACAAAATAGAAAAAGAAAAAAATATATATATACAGTAAAACAAGTGAAAAGAACCAAGAAAAAATTAAAAAGAAATTTATACCATGGACATATAAGAAAATATCAAAAGTCCATTTACATGTTTCATGTTAAAAAGAAAAGTTAATGGTATCTGTATAATATTCTTAAACCTGTCTCTGCTGTCTTCAACTTTTCCCATTAACCACCAACTCTTGGCACCTATAGATTGAAAAATGAGAAGTACTTATGATTCTAATTCCACAATATGTGAATTATAATCAATGATATGTTATATTCAATTATGTGCTTTCAAATGCGATTGTATAAACACTGTAACCATACTGGACCTTTGTGTCTCAAACTTTGTTGCTGCTATCAGTAGTATCATAGTATCATAGTTTTCCAAACTATGTATAGTAACCATAGATAGATGGATGGATGATTTTCTTTACTAAAAATAATTTCTCATTTTTTTTCATTTGTGTAGGTCTTTAAGTGGACAGGTGATAATATGTTTTTTATCAAAGGAGACATGGATTCACTTGCTTTTGGTGGTGGAGGGTAAGTCTCATGAATATTTTACTGTGAGATTTTTAAAGAAATGTACTGCACTTGGATTATTTATAAAATCAATTAATTTTGGAAAGTTTTATCATCACAGTCCTAATTTGTTCGTAATGAGACAAAGTACAATACAATATATTTGCAAGAAGTTGCTATCGTTAGTGTTGTTGTTGTTATTAAGTGCCGTCGAGTTGGTTCCAACCCATAGTGACCCTGTATAGGGTTTCTGAGGATCAGCTTTAACCAATGACCTTGCAGTTCAAATGTCTTTGTAGTCTGGCGAATTAACCCACAGCACCTTAAGTGTAGTATTTGAAACTATTGGTAGAATATTCATGTTAGAATGCTATTTAATTGATTCCCTTTTGACTAAAGACCATCTTTTTCTCTGGCATATAGTGACACCTTGGTATTTGAAAGGGAGAAACACCAAGGCTCAGATTTTTAAATATAGGTATTGGTATGTTATTTATACAGAAAAGGCCCAGGTACTTTCATCTTTTTTTTCTTGAAGACTATTTGGACTAATATTTTTAAAGACAATAGGAATTTGTTTGCCTACAAAAAATTGTAGTGACTCCTAAGTTTTCAGGATTTTTTTGTTTTGATTTTAATACTATGAATCAGTCAGTACTTTGATTTGATTCATTTGATATTGCAATCACTGCAAGAAACTTGTCCTTAATCAGATATTTAGTCTTATTATGATTTTATAGTGTTTGGAAGTAGCTTTTTCTGCTACATCGTGTTCTGTACTTCTCAAACAGCACTTAGCAAGCATCGGAATTTCTCCTTTAAGATCATACATGGAGTATGCTTATTAGGTCCCAGAGTTATGGCAGTCTTAGTTACATTATTTGTAACCCACAGTTGAGGTGATATAATGATAATTCAGGTTTTTGTTAGCCTTCAAGAATATTCATAATTCTGAGTGATTCTAATCAGTTCTTTAAAAAAGCTGTCTGATCTCTGGGCCATATTATTTCAGTGTCTCAAAAGTTTTGTTGTTAAGCATCATTGAGTCAGTTTGGACTCATAGCAACCCTGTAAAGGGTGTTTAAGGAGCCACTGGTGAGCTTGAACTGCCACACCAACTAGGTATTGTTATTTTAACCTACTGTGAAGGAATTAGCTGGTAATTTAAACACAGGTTATTTTAGTTTGGACTCTTGATATGTTGTTTATACGATCCAGTTACATCTTTTTGTACGAGGGATGGGTGGAGGGAGAGAAATAGGTGTCAATAGTAGCCTTACATGTGATCCTGTTAGCTTTCCTGGTAGGCCTCACAATCAAGGGGCTTATAATTTTCAGCTGCTAATGGAGTCCTGGTGTGGTGCTATGGGTTAATACGCTGAACTGTGAGGTCAGTGTCAACCTCAGGGTCAGCAGTTCAAGCTCACCAGCCACTCCTTGGAAAACCTATACAGGGTTGCTGTGGGTCAGAACCAACTCAGTGGCACTTAACAACAATGGAGCCCTGCTGTGGCACTGTAAGATAAGCACTGGACTGCTAACCATATAAAGTCAGTGGTTAAAACCAACTAACACCTCCTCAGATGCCCTATACAGAGTCTTTATGAGTTAGAATCAACTTGATGGCACTTAAAAACAACAAAGGTGCCTAAGTCTTTGAAAATAATATGAAACATGTCATTGGATATTTGATGGAAGTGAATTTAGCTTGTAAAGTGTGATCTCACCAAGCTAAACTGACAATTGGCGACATACAAGAGGCATTGAAAAAGTTCATGGGCAAGTTCCATCATCTTCTAATTCTGTTTTTTCACGAACTTTTTGAAGCCTCCCCCCACCATATTAAATGTCCAATATTTGAAGAAAAGATTACTAGCTTAGAAAGGTGGACTTTATATTCTAGAATTCTGAACAGTAGCCTCAAAGAGATAATAAATCAGTATGTGCTAGACTTTGAATGCCAGCCTAGGTTCACATTCTACCTTCAACATACACTACATGTGGAAACTCTTAACAAGTGCCCTAGTCTTTTTAAACTTTATTCAGCTTATGAATTAGACATTGAATCTGCTGACAGTCTTCAGAAATCCATTGAAACATGAACTATGTGCAAATCCTAGTATAGTAACTTCTGCATAATTGATACTCAACAAATGGTAGCCACCATAACTCATTTTCTTCTATTCAGCATCTTTTCTCTTTTGGAACCATGGAAGGACTTTTACTGTGGTTCTTCTTTTGACGCCATTGGACACCCTCTGAGTTATAAGACATTAATTAAAGTTTTGGAATATTCCTTTTATTCCCTTCAGTTTCAGTCCCTTAGCCTTTATGTTTGTTCTCAGGAAGCCATACAAGACATCCTTGAAAGCAGTGCTCACATAGAAATGTACTTTCTGTGTGTTTCATCTGGGCCAGATCTTTAATTCTTGTATATATTTTTTTAAAATCTTGGTGATCACAGACCTTATGTATGTAAACACTAGCAAAGTCATGCACGCTGTCCCTGAAAATGAATATGCAAACTATATTTGTTAAGTATTCATGAACTCTGAAAGCTTCCAGTCAGGTTCAGAAGGTTAGTTTGCCATTCGTACTTTATAATAAAGCTGATAGAAGAATGCACGCTATTATTATTAAGAATCTTGGGGTCAGTTTTAAGGTAATTCTTAAAGTCATCTAGCATTACAACTAAATACAAATAATCTTTTTTTTAAAACCCTTTTCATAGTTGGCAACAGAGGGACTTTATAAGGAAATTCAGCCCTTTCCTATTCTCCTATCTAATACTGTTGTTGTTAGGTGTTGTCGAGTCAGATCCAATGCATAGCTACCATATACACAACACAGTGAAACTTGGTCCAGTCCTGTGCCATCCACACAATCGTTACTACGTTTGAGCCCATTGCTGCTGCCACTGTGCAAGTCCATGTCATTGGCGGTGGGGGGGGGCACTTCCTCTTTTTTAGTGACACTTCACTTTACCAAGCATGATGTCATTCTCCAGGGACTGGTTGCTCCTGATAATAAGCCCTAAGTATGAAAGATTAAGTCTGAGCATCCTGGCTTTTAAGGAGCATTCTGGTTATATTTCTTCCAACAAAGATTTGCTTGTTCTCCTGGCAGTCCAATACCATTATTCAAATGTGTTAATTCATATAAGGTGTTCCTTATTCATTTTCCAACTTTCACAAGCATATGAGGCAATTAAAATATCATGACTTGGGTCCTGTGCACTTTAGTCCTTAAACTGACAACTTTGCACTTGAACACTTTATACCAGAGGTGTTGTACAGCAGATTTGCCTAATGCAATATATTGTTTTATTTCTCAACTGCTGCTTGAGTGTTGATGGTGGATCTAAGCAAAATAAAGTCTGACAATTTCAGTGTTTTCTCCATTTATCATGACGTTTTTATTGGTCCATTGGTGAGGATTTTTGCTTTCTTTATATTGTGGTGCAACCCATATGAAGGACTGTGGTCTTAAACTTTCAGCAACCAAGGTTGTATTATATGTATATTGCAGGTTGTTAATGAGTCTTCCTCCCATCCTGAAGTCACATTCTTCTTTATATAATCCAGTTTATCAAAGTATTTGCACAGCATGCAGGTTGAACAAGGATGGTGAAAGATTACAACCCTGATGCATACTTTTCGAAATTTTAAACCATTCGGTGTCCCCATGTTCACTTTTAACTATTGCCTCTTGGTCTGTGTATAGGTTCTTCATGAACACAATTTAATTGCTCTGGAATATTCAACTCTCTGTTGTGCTGTCCATAGCTTGTCGATCCACACAGTTGAAAGTATGTGCATAATCCATAAAGCACAGGTTAATATCTTTCTGGTAGTCTATGCTTTCAACCAAGACCCATCTGACATAAGCAGTGATATCCCTCATTCTACATCTTCCTCTGAATCCAGATTGAATTTCTGGCAGTTCCCTGCCAATGTATTTTTGCAGCTGTTTTTGAATTATCTTCAGCAAATTATTTGCATGTAATATTAATGATATTGTCCAATGATTTCTGCATTCTCTTGGATTAACTCTCTTTGGAATGGGCACAAATACGGATCAGTTGGCCAGGTAGCTAGCTGTCTTCCAAGTTTAGTGGCAAAGACGAGTGAGTGCCACTTGTTCTTTCCCAATACCTAAGTGCACATTGGACCTCAGTGTCATTGGCTCTTGATCATATGGTACCTCTTGAATTGGTTGTCTATTGACCATTTCTTTTTGGTAAACTGACTGCGTATTCCTTCCATCGTCATTTAATGTTTTTTGCATTACTCAATATTTTGACCAAATAAGCTTGAATTTTTTACTCAGTTCTTTCAGTTTGATAAATGCTGAGCATGTTCTTTCATCCCTTTTGGTTTTCTAACTCCAGATCTTTGCACATTTCATTATTAGATTGGACTTTGTCTTCGCGAGCTGCTGTTTGAAATTTTCTGTTCAGTTCTTTTGCCTCCTTACTTATTCCATTTGCTATTCTGTAGAGCAAGTTTCAGAGTCTCATTTGACATCCATTTTGATCTTTTCTTTCTTTATGTCTTCTCAGTGACCTTTTGCTTTCTTCCTGTATGATGGTCTTAATGTCATCTCACAATGCTTATGGTTTTCGATCATGCTATCTAATGGCATCAAGTGTTTTCTTGAGGTGATCTCTAAATTCAGGTGGGATATGTTCAAGATCCTATTTTGGCTCTCACACACTTGTTTAAATTTTCTTCAGCTTCAGCCTAAACTTATACATTAGCGATTGATGGTCTGTTCCACCGTCTGCCCCTGGCCTTCCACTGGTTGATGATAAGGAGCTTTTAAACTATTTCTTTCCACAAATTAATCAATTTGATTTCTGTGTATTCCATCTGGTGAAGTGCACATGTATTATCATCTTTTATGTTTAAAAAACATATTTGTAATAAAAAAATTTTTTTTATAATTACTGTTAACACTGCTAGCCTCCACAGCTGAATCATCATTCTATCGATATCTTTTCCCACTTTCCTTTATCCAGATTCAGCAGAACTGAAACATTGTTTGATGGGAGTTACAGACTGTGGCTGTGAGACATTAGATAATTCACTACACTATACATTCCAAGGTAGAATTTTTGAAAAAAGCAAAAGCTTAAACTATACATAGGCCAGTTTTCTCAGAGATAGTAAGATGCCATATGAATTCTTTTGACTATGTTGAAGGTCAGAAGTTTAAAACATTCAAATTTTAGAGCTATGTAGGTGTTGAGAGATTGCCTTATCTTTCTTTTTAAATAACAGAAAGTATACCACAAAAGAATTAAATCTCTTAAACCAATTTTACATAGTGGCCAACTAAATCCATAAGCAAGTCTTCTTGATCCCAGACCTTCCCCCTAACCCCAAACATAGCCACCTATACTTTTGAAAATACTCTACTAGACTCTGGCTCAGATTTGCTGGTTTGATCTTTTAGTAAATGTGGAAAGAGAATTTCTAAGAACTACTCATCTGAACACTTTGGTAACGAGTGGTCTTTGCCTCTTCCATCATCTGTTGTTGTTGTTGTTATGTACCGCGGAGTCGGTTCCGACTCTTAGCGACCCTGTACAGGGTTTCAGAGGGTGTAAATCTTTATAGGAGCAGAAAGCCTCATCTTTCTCCCAGGGAATAGCTGGTGGTTTCGAACTGCTGACCTTAAGGTTCGCAGCCTGATTAGTAACCACTAAGCTACCAGAGCTCCTTTTAGGTAGGTAGAAATTCTCCATATGATAGAAACAAAAATTTTCCCCCTGGGATTCCAGTTAGATAAATTATTGTTATGACTCCTAGTGACCCTGCATATGGTTTCTGAGGCTGTGCATCTTTGTGGGAGCAGAAAGCCTCACCTTTCTTCCACAGAGAGGCTGGTGGGCTTGAACCACTGACCTAGTGGTTTGCAGTCCAGTTCTACAGAGCCTCTGTGCTTTATTATCTTTTCAATTCCTATAATACCTGTTGCTTTTTTTCTTGGTCTTTCTGTTAAAGAATTTTAGCATTACATCTTTATCCATTTAAAACATCCTCAAACTGAACTCTTTTGCAACCCAATTATTATTTTACAATTTAAGGCATAGCATTAAAAGATTTTTAGTATATAACTTTTTTTTTTTTTTTGTATTGTATTGCAGGGGAGAATTTGCTCTTTGGCTTGATGGGGATCTCTACCATGGGCGAAGCCATTCTTGTAAAACGTTTGGGAATCATACACTTTCTAAGAAGGAAGATTTCTTTATCCAAGACATTGAAATCTGGGCTTTTGAATAAATATTATGCTCTCCATCTTAGCAGGATAATGCCCCAAACCTGACATGAACAAGCATTGTTTTGAAAGTTCAAGTAGCAATACAATGTAATATGTCGCTAGTGTTTTAAAATTAGTCCATATCATCATTTATTACAGCTATAATTTTGGAGTTTATTTTTTCAATCATGTTTCTGTCCCAAAGTTCTTTAGGTTTAGATAGACCTTGGCCTAGGTCCATGCAACATAACTGCCTGGGTTTTGTCAGGATGTTGGCATCATTTGGATCATAATGACCACCTCATCTCAATCCATATTATCTCAATCTCTTAACAAGATGGTGCACTTTTGTTGAACCTATTTTGGTTTATTATTATTATTATTATTATTGATTCTTTATTAGAGCATTCTAATTGGGGCCTTGAGGGAATGAAAATTGATAGATGATACTGCAGTAATATGAGGTTGGGCACAAATGACTTTTGGAAATGCTCATTTAGTTATTCTTGTGAATGAGAACCACTTGCCAAAATAATGCATACTCTGTAGACCAGTGAGTAAAGGACATTTCTAGTTTTAAGTCACCCTTCAACATTCTCTCTAGTAATTTTGAAGGTATTCTCAATTTCATTTTACTGAAAATGAAATTCAAGGAAAACTCTGGTTGTAATAGACCATAGTGCACATGGCCTGCAGGTTTGGGCATATACTTTCATCATTGAATTATTTGATAAAGATTTATAAAATGACACTGGAGAATGAGAACTTGATGATTCTATTGGATTTAATATTAAGCAAGAAAATATAGTATTTACGTATTTGTAGCTTAGAAGGCATTCTAAGTATAAAAACTATGAAGCAGATGCGTATTTCTTCAATATTGTGTCAGATATACTATTTTATAGTTCTCTTGTTTTAGCATTGTTGTACACCAACTTCCAAAATATAGTTTATTCCTGTTCAAAAGGAAAAAATTACTTGTGATTTTTTAAATTGAGTGGTTTATGTTATTAATTACCATTAGCATTTGCTCTTATTAAAAGACAGTGATTATAGTTGACACTATTGTAATTCAGTAGACTTGTGGAATATGCAAACTTAAATGTCAAATGACCTCAAAATTAAAAAAAAAAAAAAAAAAAAAGGTAGACTATACTAGTAGTTCTTATCCTCTTTTGCAGGAAAACAATAATAAGCCATGTGGCAATAATTCATCAGTTGATTTCAAGCTTCATGTTATGCAAAAAAAATAAATCCACAGAAACCCGGCTGTTATACATGTGACAGTGACTTTGTGCTGAAATTTCAGCTATTCCAGATAAACATTGTATATTACCTTGTAAATTAATGTCTAAAGGTAGTTTTGTTCTTATAGATGATACTGATTGCCAGGTTGCTTATAGCACTTTGAATTATTCTAAAAATGAAATTACAAGCAAAGTATGTTGACTTAAGTAGTTTTAGTTGTATAGCACTTGAGTATATTTAGTTCTTTTGAAAGTTTAAATAATTATCTAAGGAAGCATAATGCTTAATGGAGGAAAAAGTTCTATTATATGCTGTTACTGAATATGAATAGAAATCCAGGGCATCATTTCCTTATCCATATGTAAACACTCATTATAAGTTAGTACATAGATTAAATGTTTACAATATAAGCAATTGTAAATAAATATATCAGGTTTTTTTTGTTGTTTTGTTTTCCCTTTTGGGCTTTCACAGCAGTATTATTGTCTTTGTGGAGTGAATTAACCACCCAAAACAAACAAACAAACAAACCTGTAATTGATTTCAATTACAATAAGGTCATAGTGGTATATACCAAATAAAATTAAATACATACCTAAAAATTTTGAGTTTGGATTTATTGAATATCAAATTATTTCCATTACCTAAGAAATTTTTGTTTAGACCTGTGACGTTCTTCTATGTATTTAAGTGCTTTTAGTTGCCTGTATTAATGTGATGATGGTTATGAAAGGGTGCATCCCATGTAGAAGTACTAAAATTTTTAAAATAAGCATGTGTGATGGTCCTTGGCATGTGGGAAAATACAACTCAGTTGATATTTAAAGTATATCGCTTTCTTGGTGGAGAGTGCATAGTAAGTTAAGCCCAGTGTTATTAAGAGTCTTGTGTGCAATACCAAGAAATTTAGACATTTTTTCTTTATCCTATAGGAGGCATTAGGACCATTTGATCAATGAATGACATAATTAAATTTGTATTTTAGAAAAATCTCTGGAAAACAGTAGTAGAAGAAAGACTAGAGACTAGGTGGTGACTAATAAACAAGCCTGCCGTATAGTAAAGAGAAAGCAATAATGTGGCCTGTAGAAGAATAGTAGCAGAGGAAATTTAGGAATTAAATTAATAGTACTTGGTGTTATTGTTTAGGTGGCAGAGAGAATAAGTTAAGGATAGCTGTCAGATTTTTATTTAGAATTGGGTATATTATTCCTCAAGATAATACACCCTTAAAGAAACAAGAAGAGGATGAGGAAATGACGTTAAGGACATTATTATGGTATGATTTGAGAAACTGTAAATTAGGATTGAGGAGACAGCATCTGTACAGATAGATAAAAAGATTTAAAAATCAACAATATATAGGTAGATATTGAAGCCATATAGATGAGATGCCCATAGAAGTCATAGATTGAAGTGAAAAGAGGATTTAAAAAAGAAAAAAAACAACCTTTTATTGTAAATTGAGTGAAGGTTTACAGATAAGATCATCAGTTTTACATTCAGAAATACACTTTGTTTCATCTCAGTGATTACAATCCCCTCCATGTAAAATAATTATCCCACTTCCTTACTGTGGCTCCTATTTACATTTCACCCTCCTTCCCATATCTTCTTAACTTTGTTCTTAGGTAAATGTTGCTCTTCTCATTTTGAATGTCTGACCATTCCATGGTGAGCATACCTTACTATTGATGGTGTACCATATACACATATCTACTGTTTGGCTGAAAATTGGGCCACAAGGGTGAGTTCCTTTCCAGATCTGATGGGTAATTGAGGGCCATGGTCTTGGGTTCTTCTAATTCCTTTCTGACAAAGTAAGCCAAGTCTGTTTTTAAATAATTTTGAGTTCTATTCCACATTTTCCAACACTCTATCTGGAACCTTCCACTGTGATCCCTTTCAGAGCAGTTAGTAGTGGTAGCTGGGCACCATCTAATTTTTCTGGTCTCAGAATCATGGAGACTGATCTGATGTTTATGTCTTCATTGTTAAGTGAAATAGAGTAGGTTCCACCTCATAATGACCGATCTTGTATACCGTTTCCAAGGAGCAGCTGGTGGGGTTGAACTGCCAACCTTGTTAGCAGTACTTATCCTACAGTGCCACACCAAGCCTATCATTCCCAGGGTTTAAATATGTAACTCTTAAGAGACATGCAAATCATAAAAATGATATACCATCTCACCCCAGCATGAATAACAAAGTTCAAAGAAACAGAAAACAAATGCTGGTAAGGGTATGGAGAGATTAGAACCTCCTTCACTTCTGGTGGGACTGTAAAATGGTTCAACCACTGTGGAAAACAGTATTGGCAGTCCTAAAAAAAGTTGGGAATAGGAGTATAATATGACTCCGTAATCCTTCTACGTGGTATATATCCCAAAGTACAGAGCTGTGACATGAATAGATAACACACACACCCATGTTCATTTCAGTACCATTCACAATAGCAAAAACATGGAGAAAACCTTAATGCCCATCAGTCGAAGAATGGAAGAACAAATTTTGGTGCATACACACAATGAAATGCTCTGAAACATTGGATAACAATGAATCTTGGAAAAAACTCATAACATGGATGAACTTGGAGGAATTCGTCAATCACAAAAGAACAAATATTGTGTGAGACCACTATTGTAAAATGTCAAGAAAAAGTTTTTACACTGAATGAAATTTTCTTTGATGGTTACTAGGGTTGGGAAGAAATGGGAGGTGATAATTCACTGGTTAGAGGGTTGTTGTTCTTGTTAAGTGCTGTCGAGTTGGTTCCAACCCATAGCGACCCTGTATAGGATTCCAAGGAGCAGCTGATAAGCTTGAACCACTTACAGTTCAAATTGACTTTGCAATCCAACGCATTAACCCACAATGGTTAGGAGGTAGACACATGTTAATTTGGGTGATGGGGAAGGCAATATACAAGGGAGAAGTTGGCAAAAAAAAAGGATGAAGGAAGAGGAAAACAGGGAGGTGTGCAAAAGATGAAGCAAAACCCTGCAATAACAGTGATTTAAGTGTAGGTATGGGAGGGAGAGTGAGAGTGTACCCATATATAGGTAACAGTTTCATAGGATATCTGTATGTGGATATTTACCTTTGTTGCTAACATATCCATGAATATGATTGAGCATTGTTATTAAGTGCCTTCCAGTCAATTCTGACTCTTAGTGACCTTGAATAGGGTTTCTGAGGAGTGGCTTGTGGTTTTAAACTTCCTACCTTGTGGTTAGTAGTCAGTGCTTATCCTACAGTACACCAGGACTCCCTGTTAAAGCATGGTTGGTAATTGTCCTCAAGACAGTTCTGACTCATAGCAACCCTGTATAGGATTTCTGAGGAGTGACTGGTGAGTTTAACCTGCCAACCTTGCAATTCAAACCCACCTTGCAGTCCAGTGCATTATCCTATTGCACCACACCAGGACTACAGAGGGCAAAATTATGAAAACTTCTTCAACATTACGAAACACCTTGAGGGAATGATTTGCAGTGCTCAGAATCATAGTCTTGGGGAACACCATGGTCAATTGGCATAGCATGTCTACAACAACAACCTAACAACAACAACAACTTCTATTTAGCATTGTTCTGGAAGTTATAACCAGGGCAAAAAGCACGAAAACTGGCAAAAGGATGGAAAGGAATAATTTTGAATGCCATTTATAGATGATAAGATTTTGGACATAGAAAATCTTAAATATGATAAAAATGTTTTAATTAGTTGCTTAAGCAATGTTACGAATACAAACTCAAAATACAAGAAACAAACA